TAATCACTTTTTCAGCACTTTTGCATTGAGATTTAATGATTGCCATACAAACTAGGTTGGGTTCTCCGTAGGATATTTGTTTTGGTCATTTTGAGTTGCTTTGGATTGCCAAGGAAAAGGGGGAGTCCCTTAGTATGAGTTCATTCACACTTTGAAAGGGCATCTAATTCTTGTATCATTTCATGCATGTAGCCATCGGCATTTAGAGGGAGAAAATTTCTTTGTACGTGCATGAACATGGATGGCCATGATTTGGTTCATGCACACTTATGGAGGATGCTTCCATGCAATTAATTGTTTTCAATGCAAATAATCATGTATTTTCTTATGGAGATAACTTGTGTTAGGATATCGCGATCAAATTTTGACTATATGATGCACTTTAAAATCTTTGGATCTATTTTGTGGTATGTGCAATACAAATAACTTATATATTGCACTCATCTGAAAGTAGATCCAAGGGCCTTAAAGTTCATTATGATCCATTTTTTTGTCAAAACATCCTCACGTAAAATTTTTCGTTTTTTATTAGGCTAACCACTTCATTCCATGTAGGTGTCCTTTCTATTTTTAAAATGATCCTTTGTATTCTAGTGATTATTTAACTTTCCTTTTTTCATGTATTGAAAGTCCTATATATAGCCTTGAATTTTAGGATGTAATCAACAATTTATGAATACAATTTGAGAATAATCTCTTCTCAAACTTAATTTTATGACTAGTTTATTTTCTTTTTCTTTGTGAGTTTGACTGCAACTAATTCTTTGATGAGGAAGTGGTAGTTATGCAATTACCTTTATTTTTGGTTTGTTTCACCTTAGTTGTCTCTCTATCTTTGTAGAACAACTGCATCAATTGATATCAGAGCTTAACATGAAGATTATATGATGTCGAAGATCAATTTGTGTCAAGCCTTCAATGACATTTGTTATTGAAAAAAATGTTGATTTCTTCGATGGAAGTCTTCTCAACTTTCATGTTCCAATTTCATTTACTTTTGTTGCATTTCTTTTATTTAGAAGATATCAGTTTTCTTGTATCTTAAAAAAAATTAATTAAAAATAAATATCTAATTTGAGATAGTAATTAAAAATAAATTTAATTATATAAACACAATATTAATTTCAATTTCTTTAATAGGAGCCAATGAACAGGTATTAAAGAAGCCTCTTCTCCATGCCAAGCTATAGCTTACATCTTATCTACCTTATTAGCATTAGATGGAAAATATTTGTCATGGTACTCTGATCAAATTTTTGTTTAGATTGGATTTTTAAGCTCTTAGATACACTTAAGATTAGTGAAATATATAATTAATTAATATTACACAAATCCCAAAGCAGATCTAAGAGTTCTAAGTCCTATCTTGACAAATTTATAATCACAATATCCTGACATAATTTTTCCTGCATTGGACAAGGAAGAGTTGGAAAATAGGAAATGAGATAGAAGTATAGTGAAGTATTTATAGTATGGAAATGATCTTCGAAAGTAAGGATGTTTGAAAATTTATTCAGAAAAACAAATGTGTTCTCTTTCTTTCTTTCTTTCTTTTGCATTCTTTTTTTAGTGCGTAGGTGTTTCATGTTTCTAATCTTTGCATATATTCTTCTTTTTTGCACTATTGCAATGACCTAACGGGCAAAGACATAATTAAGTAGATATGAGTGGTCTATTTGCAAAATGATCCGTTCAATCCTAAATCAAATGGAATATTGTATAATGGAATAATACAAAAGCATCACACACCATAAAAGTTCCTATCAATATATAATCTTAAAAGAAAATTTTAGAGGCAATCCCATGAGCTGTAAGTCACAATAGAGGGAACTAATTAATCCCTCTTGAGGCTTGCCTTCTTGTTGGATTATAATATACAAAAATTAAACTTTTTTTTCCCTTGTATTATAGAAATGGTGAGGTCTTCATGAGTAGACAAGAGGAGATTTCTAAGTTAATGGCCATAAAAGAAGAGTGGAGTTTTGTTGCGACTTGAGATATGTCATAAAAAAGATATATGCAATATCAGTGCAGAGACAAGACCATGTTCTTAGTGGAAGGCGAACCCCAACGGGATAATGATTATGAGATTGAATTATTATATGATGGTTCTGTACCTTTTGATAGTGAGTTGGATTTGTGGGATGAAAATTCTTTAGGTATCGTGAGGGGTTAGACTTCTATTGGCGAAAATGAGACTAAAGATTGGAGGAAGAAAATCATTTTTTTTTTCATGATTGTTATAATTAATGAGAAATGTGATCTAAAAATTGATGAAGGTAGAGTCATGACTGTGATTTTTTTTTTAATGTCGAGTTGTAGGGTTATAAAATCAAATGTAATGTGATGCCATTCCTTTATATTTTCATAAGTTGCTTTGGTTATATAGCATGAATGTCATGCTTTATGGTAGGGATAACCATATTTTTAAATTCAATAAAACCCATAAAGTTGGCCCCAACCAAGCTTTTTTATGAGATTCTCAAATAACATCCTCATGAATTTTCTTCTAACAATTACGCAAAATTTTCTTTAAAGAACATTACAAATCTCCAATTGGTTATCATGGGTTCTTCTAATGGTAGTACTTTTGTGCCTATTCATTTTGCTTCTTATTCAACTTCCTTTTTTATATATATATATTTTAACATGGAGTCTTTTTTATTTTGCTTCTCTCCATTTCCTTCTTTTGAAGGAAATTTAACCTTATTACTAGATGGAGTTTTCCTCTCTTATGACGAAGCTTTTTCGGAGTTTTCTAATCTCTTTCATGTTGAAATTTCACATAAATTATCTCCTATGACGCAAATTCAACATCTAATTGATTTTATCCCAAAATTTCAATGTCCTAATCTTTCTCATTATTAGATGAACCCATAGAATATTATGAATTTAAAAGCATGTAGGATGATTTGTAAGAATGATTAATTTTTTTTTTCAATGCCCCTAAGCTTTCATGAGAATGATGAAAAGCATCTTGATGCCCACCACCATATGTATCAATTATAGCATGAAAATATTCATTGGTGTTTGTTTACTCGAAGGAGCGATCATTCAAAAAGAATGTCAATTCTTTTTCTTTTGTCTACCACTAATCGCAAAATTTAGAGATATTATTTTTCATTCTTGTGATGTTTAAAGAAGAGTAGAAGACATCATTAATGCATGTAGTTTTGATATTCAACATTAGTTTCAAATCACTTATCTTAAGATGTCATTGCTTTAGCTAATGTTGTCTTAAGACCCCACTTAAAGATTTCCTTGTATTTGGTATGATAACGACACCTATCTTAAGATGTCTTTGCATATGATATTAGCCATCATTCGTACATGTTTTTCACACAATACAATCAAATATTACATATTTATAAAACAAACACTCGTATCTTCATTCATCAAATTATCAACCAAATATTAAAATTCACATTATAATTATCAACTTTGTTAAAAAAAAACATTAAATTTCAATATGATTATTAGATATATAAACAAATTCATTGAATAATATGATTACAAATATACCTAATATTTGGCATAGCCTTTTGCTATGATGATAGTGACACATAAGAATCTATATAACAGATTTATGGTTCCAAAAGAGCGTTCTATTGTCTATTGAAACTTTATAAAAAAAATACATAAGTAGGCTTCAAAATTCTGTCCATTTAAGAGAAAATAATGTGAACTTCATGAAGTCAAAAAATGATAAAGAGGTTAGGCTTCCTCTGTACTCCACTAGTTATTATGTGGATCAGTTCAAAAGTCAAATCTTGATTTAAATTTATTGAGGATTACCCCAATTTCTCTAATAAAATAGAAACCTAATGGGACTCAACAAGGGCTTACTAAGCATGTGTTAGGGCAAAAAACATATTAGTAAAATTCATCCTTGTGGATTCCTATTTGTCAACATCTTGAAATATTGCCATCTCCACTATTATATTTTTGAAATTTGCTAATAAATTGAGTAAAAATGCATAACAATATCAAAACAAATTTATGCATCTCCACAATTTTCTCACTACTTGATTATAATTTCTATTTGACCACTACGTTCTTACTGGTTTTAATTGCACTAAAAAGATGCTTTCTACAATAACTTTAAAAAAATATTTTCTCTGCAACAACTTTACAAAGCAATAAGAAATCTATCCCAAACGAAACATTCAGCTTCATTTGGGACAGCTTATACTTTTCTATTTATAATTTTGAAAGCTCATTTTCAACCATAAATTTAAATGTGCTTTTCAAAAAGCAGCTTTTTAGAGAAAATTTTAACAAAATTATGTAAAAACTATCATTCAAATTAGGGGTGTCAATTTCGGGTCACGGGTCGGGTTCAGGTCGAACTCGAAATTGACCCGGCACTATTCGGGTCAACCCAAACCCGACCCGTTTTTAAAAACGGGTCGGTTTCCTAGACCCGAACCCGACCCGACCCGAATGACCCATTTTCAACCGAAAAATTGTTGATTTTCGAGTAAAAAACAGGTCAATCTCGGGTTGGTGGGTCAAAATCGGGTCAATCTGGGGTTGGCGGGTCAAAATTGGGTTGGCGGGTCAAAATTGGGTCAATTTCGGGTCAAAAGATTAACCCGAACCTGACCCGATTTTTGAAACGGGTCGAAATGTTGAACCCGAACCCGACCCGTTTCGGGTTCGGGTTGACCCTAACCCGAAATTTTTGGGTCGGGTTCGAGTCGGGTTTTCGGGTCGGGTTCGAGTCGGGTTTTCGGGTCGGGTTCGAGTCGGGTTTTCGGGTCGGGTTCGAGTCGGGTTTTCGGGTCGGGTTCGAGTCGGGTTTTCGGGTCGGGTTCGAGTCGGGTTTTCGGGTCGGGTTCGAGTCGGGTTTTCGGGTCGTGTCAAATATTGACACCCCTAATTCAAATATACATTATTTTTTTATTGTATTTCATAACACAACAACAGTCAAAATGGTATCTCAAACAAAACCTTAGAATATAAATACAAGTAAATAAAATACAAAATAAAACTAGAAATTATCTCTAAACTTTGATGGATTTACAAATTGATCCTTGAATTATAACTATCATTCATGGTTTATTCAAACAAAAAAAAAAAAAAAAAAAAAAGTGGACTCAATTATTTCTCTAAAGCTCTCAAGGAAAATTATACACCAACTACTTAAAGCAACAAGATCAGCCACCAACCATCAACAAATTCAGGAGCTTTACAAGCACCATTATCCTCTTCAACAAATCCATAACTAAAATCTGATCAATATAATACTGCACAGGAGACGACCTATTTTTGACCTAATCAAAGCAGTTTTTGTCATATTCCAACAACCCCCACTAAAGAGAAAGCTAGCTAGGTTCAAAGTCTCAACAACTCTGCCGTCCATTCTCCTAAAACAAAGATGTCTCAACAACTGAGTCTAATAGGAATAAATGGCATTTAGAGGCTTAGACTTCCAGTTCTGGCTCTTCTCTAACGACAATTTCAGAATAATTGCACTGCAAAACTACCGAAAAGCTTTGTAGTTGGCTCCTACTGGAGGAGTAATTATTGTGTCCGGACACCGAACGTATCCAGAGATCAATAAAAATGCGTCACATCATTAGACGGTCTGTATAGCTCGATACCCTGTCTGGACACAATAATTTTTGCTACTGGCGATGCCTGACAAGTAACCAAGAACACAGAATATATGAATCGTTTTTCTCTGTTGTGTCCTGTTAAAAGTTAAATTCTCATTTAAATCTAATAAAAAAGATCATTTCTAATATTTTCTAACAAAATCTTTTTAGGTCTGCCTTTACCTATGTAGAAAAATACAAAATAAAAAACAAGGCGGAGCAATAAAAGAGAAATATACAACAATAACATCAAGTCTTACTAGGTGAGGTCAGTTACATAAATCTTTTTCCTTCATTATGTTCTATTATTAAGAGCCAAATTCTTATTTAAATTTAATAAAAAATATTCTTTCTACCTCTATCTTTCTAAGCAACAATGTCGTTGTCAGGTCCCAGAAATATAAAATAAAAATATTTGGTTTTGGTATATTGTGCTTCTACAAGAAGGGAAGCCTCTGTTGAGGCTTGGGTTCTTGGGATTGACTATAAACACCTTTGAAATGCAGGGGTTGGGTATAGATGAAATCCTTTTCAGATTCTATATTGGTACAGTAATTCCTTTTGAGATTCTATATTGATGGAACTTTTGTGGTTGGTTATGCCTTAGTATTTCCTTCTATTATATTTCACTGGGTCCATTGGATTCAAGATGGAAAGGGTCATTTTGTGAATAGACGACTCAAACAAACATTTTTTCTTTTCGCCCGTTAGGTAGCTGCAATGGGGTGAAAAAGAAGAATATATACAAGCATCAAAAACATAGAGCCACCTATGCACAAAAGTTGAGCAGAAGGAAAATAAATGCAAAAGAAAAAAAAACTTGCTTTTCTGAAGAAATCTACTTTCAAAGATCATTTCTGTACTATAAATACTCCACTAACCTTCCATCTTTTTTCCTATCTCCCAACTCTTCTTTGTCCAATGCTCTTAAGCTAGATAAGTGTTAAGTTAAAGCTTAAGTATGGAGAAGAGGCTTCTTTTATACCTGTTCATTGGCTGCACCTTGGTTGCTAACCTGGAGGAATTTGTGGCTGCAAAGGTAAGGCATTACAAATTTGACGTGGAATATATTTACTGGTCACCTGACTGCGAGGAGAGGATGATGATCGGGATCAATGGGAGGTTTCCAGGTCCGACTATTCGTGCAAAGGCCGGTGACACCATTGTTGTCGAGCTCAAGAATAGTCTGCCCACCGAAGGTGTTGTCATCCATTGGCATGGTATCAAACAGGTATGCTTATGTGGTCATACATCAAGTCTAAGCAAATCTCCACTCTTATCTTGCAGTCTTTACCGTTGCTCTAATAATATAAACAAAACTTCAACTATTTTATTAATTAAAAGGAGGTTGCAAGACCAGTTATATATCAATAAGCACTAAACCAATTATAGATAACAGCAACATATCGATTCCACACAGGCTAAATGAATATTTAACTTGAAAAAAGTTGTACGCTGGACACAAACCTAGGATTCTGCTTAAAAATAGAATTCCATTTGAGTAAGAGCTCTTAGTATCTACAAAATCAACATGAACTAGCGCATGATAGTAGAAAAACATGCCTTTCTTTATAGATTTCTTGTTGCAGCTAATCTGAATTTTCTTTTCTCTTATAATTAAAGAATTGAACTTTCAAAGCCAAGCTCAAAATGTTTTCTATGTTTTCAGCATTTGTGCATTATGCACATCTTTGCATTAATGGCTGAGAGTTAGGGTGGTTTTAGGTGACAGGTAGAGAAATTTGTTTAAACGTGTCTTTTTCGAAAGACTTTTGATATGCCCTGAAATTCTCCCCAATCTTCTGTTGAAGTTATCTCCTTTTTTTTCCATTTTGACATTCATATCTAATCTACTTTGCAATTATAAGGGGAAATATCAGCAGCCACTCGCTAATTTTATCCATAAATGACAACAAAAATGATTTTTTGAAATATAAACTACTGCAGAATATGATAGTTCAATTTTACTTGGGATGTTTTCAGCTTGGAACACCTTGGGCCGATGGAACTGCATCGATATCACAGTGTGCAGTCAACCCAGATGAAACATTTGTATATAGGTTTCAAGTTGACAAGGTAAAAAGAATTCTTTCAATTTAGTTTTCCTAATGCCATTGCATCTTGTAGCATATTTCATTTATTCATATACTCGAACTAATAAAAAAAGCACATATAGGCTGGAACATACTTCTACCACGGGCATTACGGCATGCAGAGAGCAGCAGGGCTCTATGGTTCTCTCATAGTGGACAAGGCAGATGGTGAGGAAGAGCCCTTCCACTACGATGGGGAGCTCAGTCTCCTCTTAAGCGACTGGTGGCATGAGAGCGTCCATGCTCAGATGCTGGGTCTCACCTCCATACCCTTTCGCTGGGTTGGAGAACCACAGGTAAGCATTAAAAGGTTACAATTCCTCAGTGCTAAGATCATTCTGCAAGAAGGAAGACAATAATGAGAATATGGAGTTATGATTACCTTTAAATACACTTATAATTACTAATGATATCTTAAATGGTCATTTCTTTCAGAAAAAAACATGCCAACCACTTTAATTTTAATTCATGTCCAAAGTTTCAAAGGGCATAATCATGAAAGAATGAACATATATGAAGCCACAATGACACTGTGCAAAGAACAAGCACAATAACTATTAGTAAACGGAGAAATTAAAAGATAATCAAAGTTTAGGGCGGTGAAGTACGATGAATGCAATGGTAGGGTTTTCAATTTAGGTTTCGTTTGGGACGGCTTTCTTACTACTTTTTAAAACAACTTTCTAGTACAACGAATAAAATTTTTATACTAAAAAACTGCTTTATAAAAAAATAAAAAAGTCATCCCAAACGAAGCCCTAATCAACCTGTACTAGATGCAAGGAAAAAGAAAAACAAGTGCTGGCTGCTTTTGCAACTGATTCTTACCACCAGTCTCTACTACTTTTTGACCTGACACCAACCTTGAAAGAGTCAGGCAATGAAGCTGGCATATGGTCAAAAAATGATAGAACAATTGAAAAGGAAGTGGACCACTTCCAACTTCACGCAAATTGCACCTGCCTAATGTTTTCTAATTATCATAAAATGAAATATTGCGTTTATTAAGGACCTTCCAAAGATTTCTCTTGTAAGCAAATGCTACCTACATATTTAAGTTCTTCACTGCAATTTGTGAGTCTTAGTTGTTATTTTCACAAACACTTAGGTAAATTAGGTCTGATTTCAGTAACTACAATAAAGAAAGAAATGGAAAGGAATCAAAGGAGGAAAATGATATGCAAAAATATTCTCTTCAGGGTAGGATTTAATAACCGTTTTTTAATATATGGTTATGGTTCCAGGCAATATTGGTCAATGGCAGAGGCCAATACAACTGTTCTCTTGCAGCGCACCTCACTGGGGAAACTAGTTCGTGCAAAATCACAAACAACCAGTGCGCTCCTGTTGTGCTCCAAGTTCACCCAAAAAAGACTTACAGACTGAGGATTGCCAGCACAACATCACTATCGGCTCTAAATCTAGCGATCGGGGTAAGAAATCAAAGACGAATAAATATAAAGTTTATGCGATATTTATAGGTTATACGTTATATATCGTATGTCCAACGAGATTTTTAAACAGTTAAAAGTACAAAATCAGAGATGCTATGTACTATGTACTTAGTGCTCAACAGCCAGTTGGCTTCCACATAATCATCCAAAACTTTGATCAACTCAATATGTTCAAATTCATTCATTTATTTATTACTCTTGAGATCAGAATTTGCATGTGACCCAAATTTTAAAATTATACTTACTTGCATATTAAATTTTTTAATAGTTTTAATAAATCCTTAAAAAATATGTGAGATGCTGATGTTTAGACTTAACATCTTTACTTAACACAAATGTATACATAATTATTTCTAAGAAATTCACAAAATTTAGTAATTATATTAATGCATAATACTCATTTATTAATGAAAATAGAAAATAAAATAAAATAAGATTATGAAATGATCATTATGATGTCCATCACACTTATACCTTTATTAATATAGTCCACTTAAAACATAGAGGATGGATATACACGTTTAAGAAAAGAACATTAAATGAGAAATTGAAAAACCTTACAAACAAACATCAAATAAGCACTTCAACTTCTTAGGAGCTACATGCTAAACACAAGAACAGAGTAGATCACACCAGATTCTAAACATTTCTTATAGAAAACGCAAAAGAAAACGGGTAAGAATATTTCCAGCTCTTAATCTCCAATCTAAGAGAAAAATCAAGAAGAATCTGGCTGGAAATCCTTCAAAGATTTTGGAAGGCGTAAGGTCTTGTTAGAGCATCAGCTTCACTTACAACCTCCTTTATTTGTTGATGAGATTTCTATTCTTTTGTATTTTTTTGCAATCTAGTTCTTTCATTCTGAATTGTTTTCTGCAAACTCGTACATGTCCACAAAAATAAACCCTAAGTTGGGCTTTTTCCTTGCACATTCTTCCTCAACTCTTTTGATAGAAAAATAGAATTAGCCTCTATCATGAAATTAGCGTATTTTCCATACATCAAAATAGTGATGATGTGCTCATAAGTAGATAATGCAAACATAACAAAATCCAAGCTCTACTCTCATCTTCAATTTTCACATCCAAAAATAGCTATTTGCATGCATATATGTGTACTTGCCGTGATGTGCCATCCTTCATGTGAAATACAAGCTTTTGTTGCATCAAATAGAGAAGCTTGGCAAATGACTTAATAAGTATAGAGATTCCAATATTTCCTACAAATGTATAATACATTAATCTACCAAATTTTGAAGGGCCAAGCCTCCCAAACTAAGAATTATCAGATCCATCTCATCATCTATGAAATTAGGGAATCATTCCTCTTTAAAGCTTTGAACAAACCCACCCTCTTTGGGCAAAGAGACTCTCATTTACATCTTCTAGATGCTCCCATTAAATGTCACAAACTCATATTTGGTACTGCTAATATAGAGCTTTGATGGAATCATCTCCTCAATTCAACTTGACTAAGTTCTTATACCAGTTTACTATGAGAAAAGTGCCCAAAGCATATCTTTGAGACTGCCAAAGAGAGCAATCAAATTAACCAAGGAGAAACAAAACTAATACCACACACACAAAGATGATTTAAAACTAATAAAACAATAGTAGAAATAAGAACATCATGATTTATTAGTTCAATCAAAAATAACATACATAGGCAAGGAGACAGAATAAGCTATTGCCAAATACATGGATGAGTGTAAAATGAGAAGAATAACAAAATATACCAAATCTTCCTAAAAAACTAATTAGGAGAATAAAATAGATCTCACTAAATTTGGACTCTTTCACAAAAAGAAAGTCAAAGAATAACAGTGAAGAAGAATTCCTCTCTTTACATCAAATCTCCTATAATGATTGCAACTCTAATCCTTCAAATTGAGAGAGGCAAAACTCAAGTAAAGAATGAATCTAGTTCATGATCTCCCTTCTCCCTCTCTGAAAAAAACAAGAAACTGCAACCACAAACTCTCCTCTACTCATGAGATGTTGAGCTAGCAACGCATATAAAGTTGAAATCACTTGACCGTTGCTAATCCCATCCAGATTCAATTAACGAAGTTTAGGATAGGAAAGTTTTTAGGGCTTTTGTAATTTACCCATCCAAGTTTGATATAATCCAACATAAACAACCATAAAAGAGGCTTAGCTGACTGAATATGAAATTGTTAATGCCTTAATAGCTTGTTTTACAGCCCGATACTAAAGAAACAAAAATTGGAAGAAAATATTAAATGATAATATGAAACAACTAAACACAGGAAAATATAATGTTAGGAAATTAATATGCATCACACTAGAAAGAGGTAGTCAAGTTAATTCAACGAACATCGCATGTGAGGTAGGAATAACCGGCCGCATTTAGTCACTGAACTTAGAAAGAATAAAATTAAAATTCTCCATTTCCAACCTGTATTATTTATCATACAAAAACCAGTCTTATGCCATAAAAATGTTACGTGTTCAAGTTGCCAGTAGAATTCCCTGTAAATAAGTTCGGTCTCGAATTAAAAAAACAAATATTATTAAAAAATAATAGATAGGCACGGCTAGCTGAGTGATAAACAGTGAATGGTTGAAACAATTCCGGTAACAATCTTTCATTTTTCCACTTATTCTTAGATAGAAAACAATCTTCACTAGTATCACTCGGTATTGGCAATTTTATTAATATTAATATGCTCTGATTTGCAGCAATTCCTATTTATTCGTACACAACCTACACATCAAAGCTGTATCTGGAAATTTTACTCAATACCATTATCCACTAAATCACATTTAATCCGCAGAATCACAACATGACTGTGGTTGAAGCAGATGGAAACTATGTGGAACCAGTTACTGTGAATGACACGGACATCTACTCGGGTGAGAGTTACTCTGTTATCATCAAAACTGATCAAAACTCATCATTAAACCACTGGATCTCGATTGGTATTAGAGGAAGACTTCCAAAAACCCAAAATGCTCTTGCCATCTTAAATTACCATCCTAACTCCCCGTCAAAGTTACCTTCTTACAAGCCTCCTGTGACCCCACAATGGAATGACTATACACATAGCAAAGAATTTACCTACAAAATACTAGCTAGGCAAGGCACACAAGCGCCGCCAGCCAATTCTGACAGACAGATTGCCCTGCTTAATACCCAGAACAAAATTGATGGATATATTAAATGGTCAATCAACAACGTCTCATTGGTTCTTCCATCTACACCATATCTTGGGTCAATGAGGTTTAACTTGAAGAATGCATTTGACACTGAAAAGCCACCAGAGAATTTCTCAGAAGACTACGATGTGATGAGGCCACCAATCAATCCCAATTCAACAGAAGGTAGCAGTGTTTATAAGCTTAAGTTCAACAGCACTATTGATGTGGTGCTTCAGAATACAAATGCGCTCACTGGGAATGTAAGTGAGATACATCCATGGCATTTGCATGGGCATGACTTTTGGGTACTAGGTCACGGTGATGGAAAGTTCAGAAAAAATGATGTGTCCAAGTTTAATCTGAGGAATCCACCGCTGCGGAATACAGTTGTGATTTTTCCCTATGGATGGACAGCAATAAGATTTGTTGCAAACAACCCTGGAGCCTGGGCATTCCACTGCCACATAGAGCCACATTTGCACATGGGGATGGGCATAATCTTGGCTGAAGGAGTTGAACTCATAAGTAAAATACCAAATGAAGCCCTTGCTTGTGGTATTACAGGACAGGTGCTGATGAATAACAAACGTCACTGAAGGACATATGGCAGAATTTATAGTCAAATGTAAATATCTGAAGTGGTAGGGAGGTAAAGATGTTAAAGAAGAGTGAAGGAAAGGGGGTAGGTGTAGTGTGTGTGTGTGTGTGTTTAGGGGCGCTTGTGGGCTAATGCAGTGATGATGGAAGGCTAAATGGATTTAGATTCAAACGTAAATATCACGTAGTATATAAAACATGATATGAACCATAATGACATATTTTGTTGTTAGAAGAAAAGTTAGGTTGTTTTTGGATTATCCAGTTAGATCGTAAGGAATTTGAATAGTCTAACTATGGGTAAGTTTGATTCATTGTATGTATCTAGAAATAGTTGGATTTCAGAAGTGAGTTCAAATGTTTTTAGAAAAACTAAATGGAATGAGTTAACATTCTTGTAATTAACGTTCAAAAAGGTGAGAGGCTGAGAAATCATGAGTCTCAATCATAAAGGCTGAGAAATCACTTTCAATTTTGTTTGTTTTTTTACTTTCTCATAACAATATAACAAATTAAATAAATAAGATGACGGTTTCAAATATTACTTTTATTTATAATCATAATAAAATAATAAATAAAAATATGAAGATGCATAAAAATGAAACTCATTGTGGTTCAAACAAATACAGAAATTTAGTTAACAAAAATTGAGTTACTGCAAAAGAACAAACTTCAATGTGACTCACATATGGGACTACAAAATAAACACTTATAGTGAAATAAAATTGCCGTAAAAAAAAGGAAATAAGCAGCACAGACAGGAAGAGAGCTAATGGTAGATATGGTCTTCCATTAAGCCATTATTTCAGTTTAATGGAAATTTTGGAGTACAGGATTGGAGAGAAAATTAAAGAGATTAGAATCTGTGTTTGGGTTCAGGGAGTGATCATGCAAGGAGGATTGTAACATACAATGAACCACATCAACATGATTTTACTTCTTTTCTCACAAATTACTGTATAACATAAAAATTGTAGCATACAAAATTAGCTTTGATTTGATTGCACTAAATAAGGCCTTTTGTTGTCGATTCTTGAACCACATCAACATGTGTCAGCTCTTAAGTTTATCTACAATCATCTTGCACATCTGTTATGACAAGCATTAAACCCAAGGTTGTATCTGATAAACTAGTCATTGAAGGTCATCAAATTTTTTAAGTTCTAATAGGACTGGAATTGAGACCATGTTGCATATTGAGGTGCTTTTCTAACCTTCAAATGTTATGGATAAATTTGGCGGTCGCACATGGTAGGAAGTGTCAGTTTACACTTCAAAAAGTGAAAGTTAGGGAAGCCCGGCTTTGAGAAAATTGTTTGGTTCTAATAGGAAAGAGATGCTTCAACTTTTTTGTTTGGTTATTAACTAACCCTGAAAAAATTGACTTCAAATACAGGCACCCAACCATATTTATATACCATATTTATTGTAAGATACATTTTTTAATGTTGTAATAATAGATTTATGATGTATCCTAAACAAAATATAAAACAATAACAATAATAAGCCTTTATCCCACTAGATAGGATCAGTAATATGAACCCTTTTTCGATAATAACATGAATCTTTTTTTTTTTATAAACGAGTACAACGTCCCCAGCTAGTACATGAATCCTAAATATAATATGTTGTATTATAAATGTTACTTACAACAATAAAATAAAAATTTACAAATATTACTAATATAGGATATTAAAGGTGAATTATTATAAACTATATTCATATAGTAAATATAATGTATAATAGAAAGTATAAGTTATTATTTAATAAATCAGAAATTATATTTTATATCATTTCATGATTGCGATACATACTACAATATATTGTATGATGAGGAGGGATAAGTCTAATGCTAAGGAGGAGAATGACTATATAATACATAAAACTTATAAATTAATGATGGAGACTCAAAAGGATCGTTATGGTGAAGGTCATAACTTAGGTGGTAACTTCTTTTGATAGTGGTGGAAGGATTCTGTCGGAAAGAGAGTAATGTGGCTATCTGTATAGATTTAGAGATTGTAGAATTTTTTTACATAAGGGTAAGTAATATTTAGGAGGGAAGGGTAAGAAACTCCATATCTTAAGTTTAGGATGTTTATAAGCTAATGGATATATTCTTAGATCAGGGATTAAGGACTAATGAATTTTATGAATTGTTATGTCGTAACAGAGGCCATAGGAATTATCATTTTTTGTAGTGGATTTTTGGCTTGAGTTTCTTGAGGGAAAGGGGAATTTAAGTCCTTGGGGGTATTGTGGGGTTTATGGATGATGTAAAAAGAAGGGGTGGAGGTGTTAGAGGGAACTTGAAGTTATTGGAGCATAAAATTCAAGTGGGTGGCCGAGATTAGCTTGTAGGAGGGAAATAGTTTAAGTGGAGAAAGAAGACGTGAGAGAGGTTGAGAGTATAGGTATAAATTTACCAAAGTCTAAGAGGATCAACCACTAAACTTTTCCAAGGGACTAGAGCAACAACTAAACATCTTCATAAGCAACGGTATATTTCATTCATTAATAATAATATATGGTTACAATGTCTTACATTTATAGTCTTTGGGCTATTACAATCATTCTCTTTTTTCCTATAAAAAAAATGTAACTAACATGGGAAACATATTGACCAATCAAAAACTGCCACAAGGATCACTAAGCTTCCCATGGTTGGCCACACCATTTATGGAAGAAGAACAACAATAAACAAAATAAAAAATTACACTTTACTGGACAACATTTCAGCTAGCCCTATATGAAAAGAGAGTGGCTTTCCATATTTGAAAATCTTTGAATTTCTTTGGAGGGGATGGCCATATTTGATTGGAGCGTGATTATAACAGATTTTTTGTTGCTTTGAAACATTACAAACATGTTAATTGAATGAGGGGGGGAAGTCCTCAAGTGGGGGAGTCAATTGGTTCTTTATGTTTGTGGGCTCCGAAAATTCGACCCCGGCCTCCACTCGCTTTTCTTTTATCCGGCGAGGGAGTTTTAACGAACTAAGTTCCGAGGTAAATTTTGGAAGGCAGATGGGTTTGTAGATAAGACACTACCCAGAGATTTCGCCCTCATTTTGTGAGGACTTTATGATCTGAGTTCTGGTTTCCTATAGGCGCAAGCCCCTATAGTTAATTACCCCTCCTGATCGCGAGAGAGAACTTTCGATTAAGGCTAGTCGTCAATCAGATACGTATAGAATACGTGTTATCTGTCATATGTAGCAACAATGCGATCGGAAGAGGGAAGTCGATCGAGCAGAGGGGAGGTCGGGGTAGGCGTCGGTTTGGAGAGTAGATCGGCTAAGGTAGGTCTTCCCTTCTCTCTCTCTCTCTCTCTCACGGGATTTGGTCGGGACAGAGAAGGCGACGGAAGGTGGAGAGGGAGGTCGTGGCGCCGGAAGTCGGAGCTCGACGGGATCCAGGCGTCGGTTTGAGGGAGTCCGGCTATGGCTTGGATCGAACTGGGCTTGAGCTTGGTCGGAGGCTTTGATCGTGAAATGGAAGAGTAGGAGTCGGAGCAAGAGAGATTTTCGAATGGAAGAACCGTCCCAAAGGCCTCAACTGGCTTGGTATTTAACGACATCTGTGGTCGTTCGATCGAGGCGAGATCACCGATTTTGAGCAGGATTTCACGGGATTTTGACAGCTCTGGCAGTGATACGAGGTTTCCGGGATTTCTGGTGGGATTCGCGTATTAGCATCGATGCATCCGAGGTATTGAGCGGGATTTCGGGGATTTGCAGCATAATTTTGTGGATTCGTCAGTCAAGGTATAATTTTGAGCTTCTTTCTTTTTTTTGTTTTTTTCTTTGGATTTAACATGCAGGTCAACAATGTTTGAGTTTCATGTGATTATTCCTCAATTGTGAGAACTTCATGCAACTGGTCTTAAAAAAATTATTCTTCATGATTTTAGCTTACATTTTTTAAGCTTGATTGTGTTGCAACCACTCTTTTAGGAAGTTTATGCTCAAAGTTTAAAATGTTTATGATCTACTTAAAAACCTTTTTGCTTGACTTGTCCGTGACTAAGAAAATTTGAATTTCATATTATATATCTACAAAAAAATTGGTATAATCAATATGAATCTCCAGACAAAAAATTTGAATTGGAATTCTGCTTTTAAAATTAAATTCAAGACCATATGAACATCAATTTCAACAAATTTATAATCAAACTGAACGTCTCAATAAAACAAACATGAACCCAACGATTCGAAAGATGATCCAGTCCGAGCGCAAAATGAACCCAAATCAAACACCTGAAGTATAATTGGAAACTTCAAACATTAATTGGATGATCAAATGATCTCCAAATTTGACATGCTTATCGTTGAATCAAGTAGCTCAATAAGCATTGCCTCTTTTTGCAGCAGCTCATTATAATTTATTTTCAATTTGGGTTGTAATGTGTTTATCACTGTAACTATTTCATTTAGTGAATGAATTTGACCTAATATTCCAAAAAATAGGAATTGGCTAGACGTGACACTCAACTTACATATTCAGAATTAAAATAAACAATTCTTGGAAAAATACACCAAAACTAATAAGCAAGCCGATACAGATATGCAAGACAACCTATCTACATTCAACCGTGCCTATGCTCATGTGCCCATTCCCTGTGTGTAGTAGTGATTTTCATTTGCTATCTGACAGTTAGCTCATTAGCGTTTGATTGTAACTGTTTTGATCTCAACTGTTGAGGTCTCTTTCTATGCTTTTACCTATATAATGTAATGCTGAACAGTAAAGGATAAGATAGCAATATGAGAAAATGTTATATCCTGTTTTCGCATTCTCTTCTTCTTTTGTTCGTAACTTTCTGGTAGTCTTAGGGCTGTGTATAGCTGCAGGAAAAGAAGCTCGGCTCAAGCATTTCAACATGGTATTAGAGCCATTGTGCCTTGCGGCGTAATCGACCTCACCAGCGGCAGTATTTGATTTTTTTTTCTTATCTAAGCCATGGAAAATCCTTCTTAATCATCTACCGCTTCCCAAACCCTTCCTATTGTTAAAATGGCAGACATTCTTATACCATCACAACTTAAATTCCTCATGACTAATGCCAAATCTATCCTTAATATTCAGCTTACCACTGAATATTACCCTCTCTAGAAATCTCAAATTTGGAAGTTGTTTACTGCCAATGGGTTTAATGGTTATTTGGATGGTTCTATACCACAACCCTCTAAGCTCATCTCTATAGAAACTGAACTTGTTCCAAACCCTGAATATTATACATGGTTGTTGATCGATCAAAACCTTGTTGACGTGTTTTACTCTACAATTTCATCGACATTCATACCATATGTTCTTAACCTTCAGTCTTGCTTGGAAATATGGCAAACCATTGAACATCGTTTACAATCTACCAATCATTCCCATACTTCAACTAAAAAATGTGTTACATCACATTTCCATGAAAGATAAATCAATGATTTAGTATCTTTTGAAATCAAAAGCAAAGTAGATGCGATTGTGATGAGGACATCGGAAGATCAACAGCTATGATCTGGAGTTTATTTTATTTTTGATGTGTCTTATGTTCCAGTTTATTTTATATTTTTATTTTTTTAATTTTACCCCTAGAGGTGGTCAAGTGGTGTTGTAACCCAAAGGGCATTTTAGTCATTATTTCTTTTCTTGTCATGAGGCCTATTTATAGGCTAGTTCTCTTGTATTTTTAGGATGATAAATGATGAATAAAATTTTAGTTTTCTTTACTTGATCTCTAAGTGAGTTCTTGAGATGAGAGACCCTAGGTGGGTGAAAGCAATACCCGTCAACCTTTGGAGGATTTCAACGTTCGCGGTTCTACGATCTCTTTGTGAGTTCATGGTTCTTTTATTTTATTCTTTTCATCTTCCTCTTCCCTCTTATCCTATACCGTCGGCAATCCCCTCCCTATCTCCCATCAACCACCGGCTTTCCCCTCCCCTTACTCCAAACTCCGACCAAGCCAAATTCCCCAACCCCCACCGCCGGCCACCCCTTGCTCTTTTACCTTAATGTTGATTTAAATCCCCATTAAGACTTTCCTAATTCAATCCACTTAATTTTGAGAAGAGATTTCATCATTTTGAAATTCAAAATTTGAATTTCAAAAACCTTCCTAAATTGATTACACCAAATTAGAAAAGTTTTCAAATTTTAAATCTAATTTACTATTAAATTAGATTGGATTTCTTCGCCTTTTTCCTAAAGTGAGTTGATGTATTAAGGAGCATTAATTTCCCTCCCCAAACCCCTCTTCTTCTATGTATGCCACCGGCCCCCCTATTGATCCCCTTTCCTTTTTTTCTTCTCTCCTCATATTAACACTACCTAATTTTGGATTTGGGATTCAAATTCAAATTACCCTCCCACTAATTAATTCCCAAAATTTGAAATTAATTTCAAATTTTCCCACCCAGCCTAATCCTTGCTAAGCCTCAATCCGCCACCCAAGGATTTTGAATTTCAAATTTCAAAATCATCCTTAATTACTTTCCTAAAATTACATCCTCATTAATTTGGAAGGTTGCCTCATTTAGATTTAAATTCAAATTTGAATTATAAAACTTTCCCTATTAATAACGTATATTAGGAAACCTCCTAAACACATTAAAATCTGAAATCAATATCAGATTTAATAGCAATCCCCAATTAAATCCTTCCCGGGCCCACATATTAAATACAAACACCTCAAATTCTATCTCATATGGCCGGCCCCCTCTCTACCCCTTTCTCTCTCCAATTCGCCACCTAGACCCCCATTAAATCCCCATTAAACTCTTCTTGGATGCTGCCCCAATCAAGCCTCCCATTTGGAATTAATTTGAATCCCAAGGTTATTCCTGCTGCCATTCACAGTAGGAATCCTTGGAAATCTAAGATTTTTCCCCGCCAAGCTATTGCTCAGGCTTCTGAACAAATCCTGTGATCCGTCCAAGGATTCCTAGCCTTACAAGCTGCTGTCCTTGGCCATCCAGCTGCTGTCCAGCATTCCAAGATGGTGTAATTTGCTGTCCAGAATTTCGGAGTCAAGAAAACTGCTGTCCAACATCTTGGACACCAAAAGCTACTGCCCGGAATCTGCCCCAGGCCGCCTACTTGCTGTCCAAAGACTCCAACAAGGATTTGTTGCTCTACAGCCGCCCAAGAATCCGCCAATTATTGTCTACTTCCTCTCAAACTTGCAAACTACCACCAGAGCTTCCTAGAACTTCTTTCTTTGGGTAGACTCTCCCTCCTAGTCTCTTATTTTCCTAATTTATCCCTCATTTATGATTATTATGGAGTCATGAAGATAATGTTAATACTTCTCCGCTAATGCCTAGAAATTAGAGAGTTGATTGAGGGATCTTCTTGTAGAGACTAATCTTATTGTTAGCATTGGGATTTATTGTTGAAAAAATTCATGTATACAATGTTAGATTAAATTGACTGTTTTACGATCTTAACCTCTATGCATGTGATTTAGCCTAAGCTTGTCTTACCGCTCTTTAAGTTTTCTTTTGTCGTTCAAATCAATACAAAAATATAATTATAGTGGTTTCTAAAATTAAGCGTGCAAACTTCCTAAGTTAATCATCCTTGCATGTATGTTTTACATCAGATTGGTTCATTTGGTTCTCCACTGCCTCCCGATGACATTATTATGTATAATCTTAATGGACTGCCAAGCAGTTATCAAGCTTTTAAAACTGCTATACGGACAAACCTGAATCCCCTTAGTTGGATTATTTTTATGCTTTGGTTTGTAGTGAAGAATTAAACTTGGCGGCCGAATCAATCCAAGAGTTATCTATATCATCGTCATCTCATGAACCAATCCAAGCATTTTCCCCTCAAAGGGGTCGTGCTCGTTGTCTCAATTCTCGGGAATGTTCTTACTCCAAGCCATTTCGTGGTCGCAACTCTGCTGGGCGCAGTTCTTCATCTTCCTTTGCATAGATAGAGTGCCAAAATTGTGGAAAATTTGGCCATTCAGCCTTCAAATGTTAGCATTGTGGAGGTCAGCCACTGGTTCAAGCTTATTCAACTGATTCTTCCCAACAGTCCACTGGTTGGATTATTGATACAGGTGCTACTTTGCATCTCACTTGTGATCTGAATTAGGTCAATAATTCCAAATCGTATGCTGGTAATCAACAAGTTTTAGTCGGAAATGGAGATCTTCTTCCAATCACTCACACTGATAAAGGTTTATTGACAACCCCTCACTGTAAGCTTCGTTTATCTTCTCTTCATCTTGTTCCAAATTTAACGCAAAATCTTCTTTCTGTTAATCGACTCACCATTGATAATTCATGTTCTATTGTGTTTGATCACTCCGGCTATTCATGTTCTAAACACATTATCAGTATGAATGCATCTTCTTTTCCAACTGATCCAACTATAGTGAAGCTGTTAAAAATTCAGTTTAGCGCAAAGCAATGTCTGCTAAATTTGCTGCTCTTCAACAACAAGCAACTTGAAAATTAGTCCCACCAAATCCATCTCAAAATATTTGGGATGTAAATGGATATACAAAATCAAATTCAATGCTGATGGTACCATTGCTAAGCATAAAGCATGGCTCGTAGCTCAAGGATGTAGCCAGCAATTTGGTTTAGACTATCTTCATGCATTTAGTCTTATTGCTAAGCTTCCTAATATTAGAATTTTACTTCCTGTCACCACTACATTCAAGTGGAAAATTCTCCAACTTGACGTATCCAATGCTTTTTTGCATGGTAAGCTAAAAGATAAAGTTTATATGGCACAACCTACAGGTTTCAAGGATTCTTTGCATCCTAATTATGTGTGCCTTCTCCATAAATCAATTTATGGTTTAAAACAGTCATCGAGAGAATGGCTTGAGACATTTTCCACTTATTTCCTCAACTATGGTTTCATGCACAGTACAGCCGATCCATCGTTATTGATCTACAACAAAAATTCCATTGTCATTTACATACTTGTATATTTTGATGACATCTTGCTTACAGGCAATAATGATCAAACCATTGCTCATCTTTAAGAAGCTCTATCCAATCGATTTCATATGAAAAACCTTGGTTTTATTTCACATTTTCTAGTCATGCATGTGTTACAATTATCCAATGGTTTATACTTATATCAAATTGCTTATGCATTTGAGATCCTTCGTTGGGCTGGAATGTCTGATTACAACCACATATCTTCACCAAATCCTTCAAAGTTTATCACAAATTCAACAACTTCACCGCAGCTTCTTTCTTCGGCTACTTCAGATGATTTTCGGCTTCACCATCTAAGACACAAGCTTCACAGTTTCTTATGTTCATACCTCTGATTAGGTTGCCGATTTGTTTACTAAAGCTCTTTCTATACCGGTTTCAAGATCTTAGACACAAGCTTCACATTGTGGAACCCAATGTCAGCTTGCGGGGAGGTGATAAGCAAGCCGATACAGATAAGCAAGACAACCTATCTACATTCAAAAGTGCCTATGCTCATGTGCCCACTACTTGTGTGTAGTTGTTATTTTCATTTGCTCTCTGACAGTTAGTTCATTACCATTTGATTGTAACTGTTTTGATCTCCACCGTTGAGGTCTTTTTTTATGCTTTTACCTATATAGTGTAATGCTAAACAGTAAAGGATAAGATAGCAATATGAGAAACGGTCATACCCTGTTTTCGCATTCTCTTCTTCCTCTGTTCGTAACTTTTTGTTAGCCTTAGGGTTTTGTATAGCTGCAGGAAAAGAACCTCGGCTCAAGCATTTCAACAAAAACTACAAGATGAGCAGCTCTCCCAAATCCAAACATCTGACCAACAAAAATAACAAATCCCCCATCTCAATAACTCCTAACAACTGATCTGATGGCAATAGCACAATGAGATCCAATTCTCATAAAAGGATTAAACAAACCACAAACCTATCAGATTCGAAACTCCTAGGAATGCTCCGAGTAATGGCGTTACCTTGCAGAGGCCAGCGGAGATTGGCATAGAACAGGTGAGGATATAACGGCGGCGCCAAGGCGGAGGCGACGGCGACGGCGCAGGCGCACGCTTGAGCAGACGAAAAGTTACCAAATGAGGCCAATATCGACTAATTCGTCATTCCGTAAGAATTTAAATTAAAGTAACCCTGTGGGAAAAAAGAAATAAATATTTCGATATTAGATAAATTAAATATTAATTTTTTTATTTTAGATTTTTTAATTTACATTCACCATACATGGGATTATGAGGAATTTAAAAAGTTATTGTTTATAATATAATTGTAGAATAAATAGTTTAAGATATTTTAAAATATTAGAATATTAAATTATAGATTAAAATAATCATATTTAGATTTAGATTACTTAAATTTATTAAAAAAATTGCTTTACATCTTATAATATAGTTCATCCAACTTAAAATATATTAAATATAGTATAATATAATATATGAATAATTAAATAAATTGAAATTTATTTTTTCAAAATTAACTTTTATCATTAATTTAGGAGATAATTCAATTACTTAAGCATAATAGGAATATATGCTAATTTGCTCTTTTTTTCATTTTAATTTTCTTACAAATTTAATAGATTTAATATATACTATTTATATTTGTTTAAATGATATAACGTTTTTCTATTATAAAAAATAGAATAAAACTTAAGAATTTTCTATTTCAAAATAAATCTTCATTATTATTTTGAGAATTTTGAAGGAATATGTATTTCCTATTATGATTTAAATTTATAATCATAGATTAGAATTTATAAGTTAGATTTGATTTTTTTAGTATGAATGAAGATATTTTCATTAAGTACTATGCAAATAATAAATTAAGATAATCCTCTATAATACATTAAAAGTTAATGAGTTCATTCCTATATCTATATATTTTAATATTTCCATGCAACTATAGATCAAAAAAAAAAAATTTTTTTTTCCATTATACCACATTTGAGGAAGTCATTCTAATTCTTTAAAATATTAACTATTTTCTTGAAAGATTCAGACAATTCCTTAGAAAAAATCTCTCTCTTTTAATGTTTCAACTTTAAAATCATTTTCATCAAAAGTGTTTGAAGGTTCATCATATGATACATAACTTTTAAGATTGGAGTACATAATTATTATTGATGGGACTTCTCTTATCTCTTCTTATTCTACCTACATACGCTACATGGGCTTTACATTGAACATTATTTTTCATCCTCTATATTCTCTTCCTAAGATATGTATAATATGAGTCGTGTTATAAAAGAGTGATCAAGATTTAGCATAATAAATATGTGTTATAACATCCAACTAAAACATTCCAAAAATCTATATACAAGTAAACTAACCAATAAGGGTAACCAAGTAGATATAAAATAGTGTATAAGATTAGTTTCACTAATGTAAGTTGGTAGAAAAACAATAATTAAATAAATGAGCTACTTGATTAGAACAAACAAAAGAAATTTAACCAATTCATCTCACCCAAGTGATTTAAGATATAAGTTATTAAATAAAGTAGGTGTGTGAGTACTTGATTATTAAGCTTAATAGAAATAATTAACACATGTCAAAATTGTGATAATAAAATAACTCAACATCTAAGTCACCCAAATATGTGTCCATAAGATTTACAAGGTGATTAAGTGAGTTGAGTTAAAAAAATGAGTTGTGATCAATTGAAGTGCAATATATAGTATTCTTTATAACTAACTTAGCACATAAGCATAGAAATAGTTGAAACATTACGTAAAGACATAAACCATGCAATCATGCAAGTTAAGGATGCAAGAAAGTAAATCTAATGATAAATTAAAAAACAAAGGCATTGCTATTTGACAACCCACATCTACATGTAATTTAATGATTGTATAGGATTCCTCCTTCCTCTCCTTGAGAAGGTGGAGAGACTGTTATATCATATCTTTTGAAGAGCCAAAGTACACACTTCTTTATTTGGAAAGAGCATCAATATGCATATCCTAAGGCTAACAACAACAACAACAACATGGATCTTTTATCCCACTACGTGGGCTCAGTTACATGAATCTTTTTTCTCCATTGTGTCTTATCAAGAGTAAAATTCTCATTTAAATCTAATAAAAGAAATCATTTGTAATACTTTCTAATCAAGTTTTTTTAATTCTACCTTTGTCTTTCTTAATATAGAACAAATCTAATACATCTACTCTTGTAATTTGGTCATTAAAAGGCTGACATTTTATGTGATCAAATCATCTAAGGTGTCATGCACTAAGATCTAACTTGAAATAATTATTTAATTTAAATCTTCTAACCATATATCAAAGCAATTAATAATCGTCCATATAAAAATATATAATATGCACAGTGGAATATATCTTTCATTTTCATATTCTAAAAAAATTTATATTTCATTTCATCATCCAAAAAGTCATTTACATTAGCCATGAATACATCTTTCCAATTAATCTATTTTAATACATTCATGATCGTAAGAGAATAAAACAAAAAATAAAAGAAAGAAATAAACCAAAATTGGATCTGCTTCACTCCATTTGGTTATTACCCTTCCCTAAAATTATAAAAAAAGAACACATAGTGAGTAGAAGCCAGTAGGTCACCTGAACCTACCACAACACTTAATGCTTGGAAAGTAGAATAATATGCATGTAATCATTCAAATCAATAGTAGAATATGCTTATCATAAATTCATGCGTATAGGAACATATCATCATGAACAATAATGTTTAGTATGAAAAATATCAATCAGTGTGAATCATAATCTTATGAGCAATTATAAACTCTATTTTATTCTATCATATCAAGAACAATGTTAAAGTAAGACTATCATAGGAATTAGGTAAAATAATGCATGCCAATATCATTTAAAATAAAATCTAAGGATCTCTTTCAATCTCACTCTATCTAGTCTTGTCCTCTTTCCTACCCTAAAATCATTTAAAATCACATAATGATAAAAAGCCCAATGGTAACCAAACTAACTAAAGCTTTCAACTCAAGGCTAGAAGAATCAATATGCTACTTAGTTTAGTCAATAAGATCAATCTCATCAAAGATCAATTATCATTTGTAAAGTTTAAAATGATCAATAATAAAAATAGGGAAATCATTATAATGAATTTAAGAATTAATAACAAGCATGAGAACAAATTTTGAAGAAAAATATATATATATTATCTTTTTAATTAATTAACCAGAGCTTCTATAAATTATTAAAATAATAAATCTCTATCCAATGAAAATAACTAATAATTACATATCCCAAAATATTACACTATATTCATTCTTCTAAAATTAATATACAATAGTCTGAAGACCAATATAATTACTATTATATCACAAACTCCTAACTACAAAATAATAAGGAAAAATACAAACAAAATTAAAAGAAAACTAGAAGATCTCTACTAATCTCACTCCACCTAGTTTTTGACCCTTTTGTGACCTAAAATTACTTAAAACCACATAATGAGCCAAAAAGTTCAACAATATACCAAACTCATTAAAGCTTTCAACACAAGGCTAGAAGAATTAATTTTCCTATTCAGTTCAGTCAATAAAATCAATCTCATTAATGATCATTTATCATTTGTAAATTAAAGCTCAAAATATTTAATAATAAAAGTAGAAAAATCATTAAAATGAATATAGGAATCGATAACATGAATGAGAATCAATAAATTAGTGAAAAAATGATAAAATAATCATTCAAGCATTAGTAAAAAGAATTACAGGCGCACATGTTAATATTATTAGTATTATCTTCTTACATCCATCCTATCTATTATATGTAATCAATACTTGTATCTATATACATATTATCTATGTACACATATCACTACTCTATTTATTAATTTTTTTAGTATATGCATGCATCGATATATAGTTCAGCAAGGCATGACATCCAACTTTAATGCAGTATTTTCATCTTTCATCTATTTCTTCTTCATATTATTATATCATATCATTATCTACCATCTTTTATCATTATTATTATAGGTGGCCTTTAAAAATTATTAAGTCACCCTCTATCCATTAGTGTAATTCGGTCTTCTATTACAAGCTACAATTTTGATAATACCATAAACTATCTTTAATGGAAAGCTTGTGGGCTCACCCTCCTATACAGAATATTATGTTTTAATAGCTAACACATTTTATAGTGTTAACAACCAGTCTTTTTTGCTTATGCAAATATCACAATTAAAATAAAGAATGAAATAGTCAATTCTATGCAATACAAGAAAATCTATATAATATCCATAATTTCTAAAAAAAATATTTAACTTTAATTCTATCTGGAAAAATTCAGTGATAGTATTATCAAAATGTCCACACAATTCATTTCTATTATATACAAAAAGTTATATAGTAAAAACTCAATAAATCATGAAAAAAATGTATATTAATCAATTTAAGAGAGAAGAAATCTATCAAACTCAAAATCCTTGAAAATTAAAAATGAGATTTGGTTTACTTACAACAAATAAAAGAAATATCTGAATAAAATTGATGGATGAAAAAGCCCTGAACAACATTCCGTCTCCTCCCTCTTTTCCTTCTTTAGTAAGATATGAAAGTAAAATTCAGATTTTTTTATTTTGAAAAAATTATTTCAAAAATTTGAGTTATTACACATTAGGTAGGGGAGAGCCATTAGTTTCCTGAACGCATTCCCAAGCAAATGTTAGCCTCATTTTATCAGTTGTAAGTTTTTCAACTGTTAGAGGAACGCCAATATAGCTAGTGATCTTAGAAATCCCTTATGGTTCTAGTACTCTAGGGGGGGATCTTAAATCTTTGTTCATAAGGAAATGGATGAGATCTCCTCACAAATGGAAACCACTTTTTCAGAAAGAAAGGCTTACCTAGGAAGTACCAAGGACCTCCTGGTCATGACATATCAAAGTCTTCAGGAGGAGAAAACTTCAAAAGAAAAAGATTTATTTGTTCAAGAGAGGGTAGATAAAGAGAGCCTTTTAGTGACAAAGTGTAGTTTATGGCTTCAAGGAGGGAGTCATAGAAAGGACGCCGCCCAATCGAGCACCCAATGGGTGAGAGGTCCCATTCAAGAGCACCAATAACAAGATTGGCTTTAGAGAAGTGAACAATTTT